CTTTTATCTTGAGGAACCAGTTCTAAACCAGTTTGCTTTTGTCTTGAGAAAACATCGTCATTAAACATTTAGTTTAATTTTTGTAAATTATTTACATATCATTAGAAATATAAGTAATCAGATAAACTACGACTGACGTCATCAATATGCCCAAAAAATGTAAATAATTATTGTCTTCTTTTTAAGATACATATGTGCTTATTTTAATGCAAGTGACGGGGCGGGAGTTTACTATTTTCGTTAAATGTATTTCAATTTTAAAATATTTTACAATAAAAAAGTAAAAAATAAAATACCTGTATCGCTTTTTCCCCCCCCCCCCCAAATAAGAAAACGTTTTGACAAAAACCAAGAAATTACTTTTTAAATTTTACCTTGTTTATTATTCTAAACAAAACATTTCCTTTCTGTGACATTCATTAAGCGAAAAAGTATTCTATTTTATACTCCTTGAGACTTTAGCCTTACAAACAAAGACTTGTACACAAAATACAATGTGACCAAAAAATCTAACAAAAGCAGCAGCAGACAGACAACTTATTATAAGACAAAAATGCCTTCCGTAATGAAGGAATTGTCATCGCTGCATCATGTGTTTTTATTTATTTTTAGAAATAAAGAGCTCTTTCTCAGTAGAATATTATTTTCTACGTAAACAACAAGCAGTATGCCTACATACTGTACTTACTGCTTTTCTCTTAATATTTATAAAGCTTTTAATTCCGAACATTATTATTAATCTAAATTGTTGTAATAACTTTGAAAAAAACTACGTATATTATCAAATAATATTATTTGAATTAGTGAAAAAACATACAAATAAATTAACAACAAAAATCTGGATAAATTATTACAAACCGAATTTAGATTCTGGATTACTGGAACTCTATAATATTTGTAATACATGGAAGAAAAACAAACCAAATTAACTACTGAAAATTAGAGAAATTCAGTTTTAGATTGATTCTGCCTTCAATTAAATGTTCTTCGGATTTAAAAAATTCTGACATAGACTTTGTTCTCTAAAATGAGCAAGAATATGGTGCCACCAAGAAAATATCGCATCAGTTTGGCTCTTTTGAAAAGCTCCGAGCCTCATTAGTTGATATCCTTCTTAAGTTAGGATTAGATTTTGCTTATTTTAAGTTCAGACTGAATATGCAACGTATTGCGTACGTCTTTTTATGTCGTATATCTATAATCAGGTCAAAACATTATTCAAGCCAAATATATCTCATATCTGTACCATTATATTCTCGAAGATAATAATTCTCATTCATCCTCTTTTCATTGGAAACAAAATTCTTTTGTATTGGAATTTTCAGTCTGAAATGTACATGATGATGCAGTTACGGATGCAATGAAATCATCCGACGAAAACCGAGTAATTTGAAGCTCTCAGAAACAAAGATCTCTCTCTATCTGTCTATCTATATGCATGACCGTAACACATGAATGCAGCTACTGAAACGTGCACTTGATCGTAAAAAATACAAAAGAAAAAACAATTTTAGAGCACCGTAGCTACCTAATTACAATAGAGATACTACAAGGTGTGAGACGAAAAGCGAAAACAAGAAACCTGATTCGAATACTAAGTGCCTAAAGATGGTTACTTTTGATTTCCTACCATCCTGAGATGATGCATGCATGAGACAAGCTTCAATGAGTTCCTGAATGACTGGAGTATCAAAAGACTGGAGCGTCGACCGTTGGAGAGATAGATGGATACCCCATTCTGATAGACAAGACGATTGTTTTTAATTACGTTGGACAATACACGCATTTGATACGAGTGAAGGCCACAGCCATTGAAAGGGAATATTCAAGGGGATTAACCCGTCAATACGTTTAAAAACTTTCAAGGGTAATTTGCCTTTGACTGACAGAACCTTGACCAAGAGAATTAGCTCTCCATGAACAATGAAATTCATGACACATTTTACACGGAAAGTTATTCGAATGTAATAAATATTCCCTTCAGAAATAAATCTACTCATACGGAAATAAATACGCAACTAATATACACTCTTATAATGAGTTAGTAATTATTTGCTACTTTAAAACACTTCAAAAGCATCTGAATATCGACCAGATAGCGAGATACTGAAAATGAACGCCTTAGTACCTTTAAAAGCATTTTAAGTTATATGAAAACTGCGCTTAAAAATACCGTATTTAAAGAAAACTTTCTTAGTCTCAGAATTTAAGGTCTAAATGAAGGAGCACGAAAAAAGTGTGCTTATAACTGGAAATCATCATACAGCCACTTGATCTTCATTTAAAAACTTATGAAGATAATTTGAAATAAAGTTCTTTTTATTTTAATTTAATTTTATTTATTTATTTTCTTTCACCGACGCCGGACCTCGGCTTTTTAGTCATTATCTATGTAGAGCAGTACAATAAAATCGTGAAACAAGCAAAATAGTAATATCTTCTGCAAAATTATCTGCGATGTCATTAAGACTAGATTAATTGTAGAGATTGTCCCTACCATGCTAGCTAGACCAAATAAAGGACATACTAATAAGGTTACCAGACTCATACGATGGAAATTTTTTCAGATAGTTCTGGCAGTCCTCAGATGAAACTTTTCTACACTTGTGGCTCTAGGAAAGTTATAGGAAATCGGTATTTTCAATAACGAACCTCAGAACTTCTCTCTCAGTTAGTTCTCAATCTTTTTTGCCTCATTCAATTCTTTCACCGTTACTAGAAGATCATGCCCCCTCTTTTTCAAAAACTGAAAAACACTTACATACGTGTATTCAGATTTAGATTATCTTCTAACGTATTTTTATAAATCAAACAACAAAACGTTTAGAAAATGCTGGTGAATGCCAAAACTTGAAAAAAGTGGTTTTGTACATTCATAAACTAAAATTAAATACTTAACAGCTAAATAAAAGGCTGACGGCTTTCTTCCTGAAGCTAAGAAATTCACCCCGGGTTGAGAACCCCTGTTCTAGCCAGCTCCTCAAAAAGGTTTCGTCAGTATAGACTGATGTTGCATTTATCAAGTCTATGGGCAATTGAAAAATTAACAAGATAATATGGCTGAAATACGTCAGAACCAGTCTTTACCAAAGCATCCACCGAATCATTTCCGATAATACCACAATGGGTGGAGTGTAAAATATCTTTCGTATTCCAAAAGAGAGTCAAGAACAACCTGGCAATCAAAGCGATTTTTTACCACTAAGGGACACAGAAGAAAGAGCCTGGGAATGAATAAAGATAATAACATACTTCGAAATAAAATGATGAAGCACTGGATATAAAGGTGTTCTAATGATTCTATTGTAGCATAGGTTTCAAGCACTTTGTTATGGAATGGCAACATGCCAAGAGATTTTTGTCCATTTTTCCTTGCTTTTGTAGCACCCAAAAGCGGCCGAGCGGTGTAAAGTCGCTGAACACTGATATTTAGGTTCGAGGTTCATAGCCCGGCGACCGAACTGGCTACATGGGAATTTTCGTGGCTTTCCCCATGTGTTAGAAAGTCTTCCACGAACGTGTCCCTTCCGGTCAAAAGAAGATACCCCTCAAGTGCTTTACCGTAATCGAATAAACTAAACCTTGTTTTTGCTTAGTTTGCATTTTTGCGAATGTGAAAACACAGCGTATTTTAATTTTTAGTACATTTTGTCAGTTTTCCGCACGAAACAAGAAGTATCAAGTTGACAACGTTAAACCTTTTCGACGTATTCTGTTCTTTGAGTTTGACTAAGGAACAAGTGTAGCACGGCTTAAGGGGCTAATTTCCTATTCCTAGGACCAATTTCCTATAATAGAAATTCATTCTTTAGGATAGAGTGTCATAGGATAGAGTGGAAAAAGTCTTTTAAATGAGAGTTTATATGACATTTTAACGCAATTTCTGATTTGTTTTGACAAAATCTTTAGATTGTTTCTATCATTTCAAGTAACAGAATTTTTAGGGAAAAAAAAGAGTGATTATTCATTTTTGAAGAACCTAATTTAATTTAATGGGGTCAGGAGATTAAATAATTCTATTTGCAAATTTCTTCTAGAATTTTATATCACGAACAACAGAAACGTGGCCGCCTAAATAACGAACCCTAATAGTTGAATTATACTAGGTAAGGTATATTTTAGTTTTATAACAGTTATTTTGATATCTTTCCTTATCAATCTACTTTCTACTTACAACTCCCTACAAGAATTAGTTTTTTAGAATCGTGTTGAATGCAAAAGAGTTAGAAGAAGTGTTTAAGGAAGGTTCAACCAACTTCGATAGACAGTGCTAAGAATCCTTAGTAGCGCGTGTTTTGCCTTCGGGTTAAGTCCAACTCTTGAAGCTGTTATGCTCGGCCGTATTTTACCTTCGGGCCTTTTGATATTCGTCCGCTAGTTTAAATTAAGGGCCAACTAAGTTAGATAACTGAGTTATTTTCAGCAAAGTCTCGTTAATTGATTATAGCTTAGTTTCTTATTTCTGAGTTAAAGCCGAGTAGAAGCTTCCTTTAAGCACGAGAAGGGGCGACTGATATTCTTATTTGAATGAAATAAAGGGTATTTAACCCTTCTCGAGTCTACGTCTTTAGTTGTTTCACATAGTTCACTAGGTTCCTCGACGTTCATCTTAGACAAGGACTTAGGCACCCTACAATTGATGGAAGTATAAGTCATCAAATTTATAAATGTGTCGAGGACCCCCCCCCACGCTTTTATTATTCGTGATATAAAATTGTAGAAGAATTTTGAATAAAGAATTATTTAATCTCTTGTTTCCATTAAACTATCAGCTATGCTATTTTTTCCATTTTATTTCATTATTTTGTAAATAAAAGCTTATTTTATAAAAATTCTTTTTATTCTTATTTTTTTTTTTAATTCTTAGATAACTTTAATCTTCGTAAGCTATTTTACCTAAATATATCTTCTACACTTGAGATGAAAATTAACGAATGCTCAGTTAAACTTCGCCACTCGTTTACAGATTCAGAAGGAAAAGAAAAAGTTGTAATACTCACGGACGGCTCCATCTGCTATTTTCCCACACAGCTTGACTTGGTCCACTTGTAGATAGTCGTAGGTACAGTTATCACTGGGCTCCAGGTCGAAGTGTTCGAATGTTAATTCCAATCCACAGACATCTGTGGAATGGCGAAGAACACGCCATTCGCATTTCTCTCTCGATGGATATTCTGTTGGAAAATCTGGACTCTTTAGAGAAACTTCGGATTCTGAAATTATTCCTCCGCAAGAAGATGCTCCATACTCTGAAATAAAAAAGTTAATTTTGAGCGCAAAGTATATGCTTGGAATAACACAGCGAGAAATGACAACGTTTTTTCAAGCACTACTACAGTAACTTTAAAAAGATAATCTACCAATTTAGAAGTTCAAAAAATTTGCACTTTTCAATCGATATAATATTTAAAATGTTAGTTACAGCAACTCTTCTACTTTCTCTATTAGAAGCAAGCCTCAGATAAATCAACAATTGGTTAATTGGTTCAAATGTATAGGCAGAAGTCCCTTGGGTCAAGCAGGAAGTCCCACCTATACTTACGAAAATTTCAAGACTGCCCTAGTAAAAGCCTTCCCTGTCGCAGGAATCGTGCAAAATTAGAAACGGAACTTTTCAGCATATATCAGCAACGAATTGAAAATCTTTCCACCTTTATTTTAAGAAAAATTCACGTCTTCAAACTCTTGTATGGAAACCGTCCGGATCCTGAGATAATTCAAGTGATTTTGCCTAAGGTTACTTTCCCAAGTACAAGACTTTATTGAATTAAAGAATCCGACTACACTGGAAAAGTTATTTGATCTAGCAATCCAGTTTGAAAGTAGAAGAACGGCGGACATTGAAAGAAGACGCCAATATGAGCAACGAAACCAATTTGGTGCGCCAAGACCGCAGCAAAGTCAAGCACACGGCTACGGAAGCAAAGCGAATCAGTGGGCAAGGAAACCCGAGCATCCAAAAACAGCCGGCGAACGTCGACAGTTCAATAGCAATCCAGGAAAAAAGTCTGAAAGCCAGTGGAAAAAGAAGGAAAGCATGGAAAGGAAAAAAACAAGATTTAAACTAAAACGGATTTCTGCTGACGGGAGGGTGCGGAAATCCGAAGGCCAAGAAAACCTATACATTTAAAGACATCATTCATCGTTGTACGTGAGTTATTACTGAGGCATGCCAAGAAAGATTTACTTTCCTGATATCCATCTCTATAATTTCGAAGCAACGATAATATACATTTACAGGTTTTACTATCAAGTTTGCGTTTTTTTATCATAGATACATATTTTCATTTTGGAGAAGATGTTAAATAACTCCTGTAGCCATTAGCATTCAGCGCCAATGTAATTAACAATTGCTTCCGAAAATGCTTCCTCAGCAAAGGTATTACTTTCCTTGTTAAATGGTTTATTATGTAGATTTGATTTAACGAAACTAGCCATGGTTTTCTGTAAAGGTAATGTTACCTGAAATACTGTCATGTTTCTCACGTTCCTTCTTATGTTCTACCAAAGGCCGAGTGTTAATACGTGAATATGAGTTCAAACCAGCAATGATGTGCCGGTTGTTTCTTGTTTCCCCATGTAAGGGAACAGATCAATTTTTAAAATTAACAAGATTTCTAGCTACCTTGCTTTTTACAATACTATTAAGATCTTAAGTTTTACTAACGTTTATTTTATTTTAAATCTTTACTATCACTTCTTATTTTCTACTTCCGGCCAGAATTAAAAGCGTTAACTTATTTATGCAAATTTGTCTGGCGAACGCCAAGTACTTAAGTTGTGGCTTTTTGCCAAGCGAGAGAGAGGAAGGAGTTAGTCGAAGCAGGCCGCTTACCTTAGAAGTTTTACTCAGTTGCTGGTTGCCTTCCAGGCCAGAGGTTTAATCCTCGTGATAATTTTAAACGTATTGTAGTGTTAACAGTTCTCTGTACTACATACGGCTTCCTGTTAATATAAGGCCAATCTTCCACGTTTATTATTCCAAAGTTAAGTTAGAGTTTAGTTAATATTTTTATATTCTTACGTTTAGACCACAAGTAGTGGGTCTTTGTATTCCGAAGTACGGAAATTATTGTAAAGAGAGAAAAATAAAGGGTTTTGTATACCTTTCTTGTGTATCCTGTCTACTTCCCACAGTTATTGAACATAGCTTTAGTAAGCTCTCTGTTCCGAGTCAGGTCCTTGCATGTTCCCGAAGAAAGTAAGACGGGACATTGAACCTGATAGTGGCGCCCAACGAAGAAGAATAACCATGGCCGAGTTTCAAGAAGAACCTGTGCTGCCTGCAGAAGCGGCTCAGAATCCAGAAATGCCAGCTGCCGCCCTGGAAGGATTTGGTTACATCGTCCAGACCATGCGCGCTTCGATGAAACCAGAAGCAACATTTAATGGAAACTCACCGGTAACCAGTTTTTTGGAAAAATTGGATGACCACTTCATGCTCTACCCCGTGCACGAATTTCAAAAAGTTACCTTAGCTACCAGCGCTTTGAGGGGCCAAGCGCTTAATTGGTTCAAATGTATAGGCAGAAGTCTCTTGGGTCAAGCAGGAAGTCCCACCTATACTTACGAAAATTTCAAGACTGCCCTAGTAAAAGCCTTCCCTGTCGTAAGGGATCGTGCGAAATTAGAAACGGAACTTTTCAGCATATATCAGCAAAGAATCGAAAATCTCTCAAGCTTTATTTTAAGAAAAATTCACGTCTTCAAACTCTTGTATGGAAACCGTCCGGATCCTGAGATAATTCAAGTGATTTTGCCGAGGTTACTGCCCCAAGTGCAAGACTTTATTGAATTAAGAAATCCGACTACACTGGAAAAGTTATTTGAGCTAGCAATCCAGTTTGAAAGTAGAAGAACGGCGGACATTGAAAGAAGACGCCAATATCAACAGCGAAACCAATTTGGTGCGCCAAGACTACAGCAAACTCAAGCACACGGCTACGGAAGCAAAGCGAATCAGTGGGCAAGGAAACCCGAGCATTCAAAAACAGCCGGCGAACGTCGACAGTTCAATAGCAATCCAGGAAAAAAGTCTCAAGGCCAGTGGAAAAAGAAGGAAAGCACGGAAATGAAAAAATAATTTAAACTAAAACGGATTTCTGCTGACGGGAGGGTGCGGAAATCCGAAGGCCACGAAAACCCCTCTTCCTTCAAGTTAAATACAGTAATGGTGAAAAATTTGACTCTTCCGAAGATTGAAGTGTTGGTGAATAATATCCCAGCCACCGCACTCCTGGATACAGGCGCGCAGTGTTCCTGTGTGGCAGAAGATTTTTTTAGGAAGTATTTTCGTAAATATCGCATATATAATTCGGATAATACGACAGTGTTAGCTGCGCAAGGAGAAAGATGTAAGTGTATAGGTAAATTACCGCTGTATGTCCGTATCAAGGACGAACAAGTAAAGGTTATGTTTTTTTATAGTAAAGAATCTGCAAGCACATATTATCTTAGGAATAGATTTTCTTTCAGAGGCACAAGCAACGCTGGATTTTAATGAAGCGTCCCTTAAGCTGACAATGAAACCAGTTCGTGAAGAAAAGGCTGAACCGCCGATGTTAAACCTTGACCACCTGCCTAATGAAGAGCAACGAAGAATCCGACAAGTGGTAAGTGAATTTGCTTCGTTATTTAGTGATATTCCAGGATTTACTCAGGTTACTAACCATAGTATTGACACCGGAGATTCAATGCCAGTTCGCCACAAAGCATACCGGTATGATAAGAATAAGGAAAAAATTATAGAATGGCATATCACCGATATGCTACGTAAAAAGATCATAACGCCCATCTCAAGTAGTTATGCTAGCCCGGTGGTTTTATGTAAGAAAAATAATGACTATCCATTGACACATCCAAAAAGGTGGAGATTCGCAATTGACTACCGTAAATTAAACTCCATAACTAAATATCCGGTATATCCGTTACCTATTATTGAAGAAATTCTAAGGAACATAACATCCACCAAATATATGACGACTTTAGACTTAACGACTGGTTATTTTCAAATAGGGGTTAGGCCTGAGGACGTGCCTAAGACTGCTTTTATAACCAAGTCTGGCACTTATGCATTTCTGCGTATGCCGTTTGGCCTTTCAGGGGCACCGGCAACATTTCAGCGATGTATGGACATTGTGTTAAGGCCTGTTCTTGGAAAGTCCACATTTATCTATTTAGACGATATCATTATTACTAGTGATAATCTCGACCAACATGTACAGGATTTAAGACAGGTGTTTTCTTTATTAAATGAGGCCGGTCTAAAAGTTAATGTCGAAAAGTGCAAATTTGCAGCCCCTGAATTAAAATATTTAGGTTACAAAATATCTCAGAAAGGAATCGAGACAGACGAATCAAAAATAATCGCTGTACAAAAGTATCCGACTCCAAACACGGCGAAGAAGCTCTCTTCTTTTCTAGGACTTTGTTCATATTATAGGTCCTTTATAAAAGATTTTGCAGCTATTGCTGAACCATTGTTAAAATTAAAAAGGAAAAAGGCAAGATTCTCGTGGACGGCCGAAGCCAATAGTGCTTTCGAAAAATTAAAACAAGCATTAACGCAAGCCCCTGTGTTGAAATTTCCTGAAAAGGATGAGAATTTAGAAATTTCAGCGGATGCTTCGGATTATGCGGTAGGAGCGGTACTTTCGCAAAATCAGCAGCCCGTGGCATTTTTTAGCCGAACTTTAAATCAAACACAAAGAAACTATTCCGCGACCGAGAGAGAGGCACTTGCAGTTCTGTTAGCAGTGCAAAAGTTCCGAGTCTATTTTGGAAAGGCGCCAATAACAGTGTACTCTGATCATGCGGCGGTAACTAGATTGTACTCAGGGAAAAACTTATCCCCAAGGTTAATAAGATGGGCACTCAAGCTACAAGAATATAATCTGGTAATCAAGCATACCCCCCCGGAAAGGAAAATATCGTAGCAGATGCCCTATCCAGAATTAAAATAGATGAAGAAGGTAATACTGTAAAGGTGGCAATGCTCACAGCATGTACAATAAATTCCCGAGAAACTGTAATAACCGAACTGGGTAAGGATCCTGAGTTTGGAAAGCATTTATGAGTATTTAAAGGATCCTGAAAATTTTAGCCACCAAGATATTGTGGCGATAAGAAATAGGGCGGCCCATTACGAACTAATAGATGGTCTATTATTTTATACAAAAACTACGAATTCCAACAACGAATTTCGACCTGTTATCCCAGCTAGTCTTAGATTAAATATCCTGCAGGAGCT